ATAAGTTTGGATGATCATTTTATTTGTTTGGAGCGATTACCCTTTTTTAGTCCAAAATTATTAGCGACATTCTCGTGCACTCACTTCAGTATGAAGGTGATGCACCGACATTCAATTATGTGGAATAAAAGACTAGCTTTTGTGCGCTTAAAATTTAATATCGCCAACTCACATTCATTGATGTTATTGACATATACTTTTTGATTTCATTTCTTTGTGGGCGACGTCTTCTACTTAAAACATTTAATTGCATTTTTTTGTTTTCATTTATTTCTTTTTATTTAGTCGAATCAGTAAATACATAGCTTTGAATTAGAAGTCCCGCGGTCAACCCAATGGAGGTCGCCTTTGTTTCAATCATTACTCCCAGGTGAGTACGAGAGCGTAGGGGCTTCCTATCGTCCAATGGGACAACAGAGAGTCAGGAGGAGCCTTATTCCTGCCTATAGCTCACGACCGTTAGCTATGTCTGCTTAGAGCATCTCTAACCCAAAAACCCAAAATTGTGTAGTTTTTACATCAAGTTAGTGTAGTTTTTATACCAAATCATTATTTCATCTCTAACCCATTACACCAAATTTTACACCAAAAAGAATATTCTTTTTATTATTCTTACATTTTAACATTTTTATCTATTTAAAATATTTAACAAATTATATAATTATATAATTATATAATATATTATATATAATTAATTATAATAATATATTTTATAAATAAAATAAAAATATAAAAATTAAATGCTAAATCAAATTAAAATATTACTTTCATAAATTCAACTAAAGATTACATTTAACATCACAAAAAAACATCACACTTGCAAGCAAAAAAATAAAAATAAAAGGCATTACATTTAAAATAAAATAAAACACCAAGACACAGTCCATATTATTAAAATTCTAAGTCTCTGAATTAGTATATTCATCCCACAAATGATCAATTAATGCATCTCAAAGTGCAATATAAGCTTCTTTATTATTGATTTGTCGATGACGAGCCAGAAATTCTTCAAACCGAGCATTTTCATCTACAACCATTTCTACATCCGGAACTGGCGCTTCCTTCCAATTTTCAATTGTAGCATTTTAAAATCACGTTCATCATCAATTATCATATTGTGCATAATAATACACGAATTATATCATGTAATACTTCTTTTTTTCAAAAACGTGCTGGTCCTGACACAATTGCAAATCGAGATTGGAGTACTCCGAATGCACGTTCTACATCTTTTCTGCATCCTTCTTACTTCATTGCAAACAACTTTTTTGGGACCACGTGGATCATGAATTGTTTGTACAATAATAGACCATTTTTGGATATATATCATCAGCTAAATAGTAACTCATGTTATAATGTTTACCTTCAGCGAGTTTTACAAAAAGATGAGATGCCTCTAAAACATTAATGTCATTATAGGAACCTGACAAACCAAAATATGCATGTCATATCCAAAGATCATAACCAGCTACAGCATCTAGAATAATAGTTGGGGATCCACTACGACCTGTATATTGGCCTGCCCAAACCGTTGGACAATTTTTTTATTTCTAATGCATGCAATCTAGACTGCCCAATATTCCTGGAAAACCTCGTTATTTACCAATATAGAGTAGTCTGGCAATGTCATTAGTGTTAGGCGATCTCAAATATTGTTCTGTAAAAACCTACACAACAACATGACAAAATCTCTTAAAACTTTCGATTACTATTGACTCTCCTATTTTAATGTATTCATCAATAGCATCCGCTGATAGACCATATGCCAATATTTAGAACACAGCTGTAATTTTTTGAAGCGTAGACACTCCGAGTCTACTGACCTCATCCCTTTGCTGTATAAAGTAAGTGTCATGAGCTTTTTATGGCATTAACAATGCAAAGGAATAAATCTCAAGACATTCGGAATTGTCCGCAAAACATCGAATCATTATATCGTGGATTCTCAGAAAAGTAGTCGTTGAACAACTTACGATCAACATTTTCTCGATCACGGTTGATCACTATCAGCCTGTTTGGATGGAGGGTAGAGAGGGGGAAGCGAAAAGAAATTTCATTTTAACCTTGATTAGGAGTTTCATTTAGGAGAGGAATGGAGGGGAAAATTGTGCTAAATTCTTACACCCCAATTTGGGGTGTAATGGAGGGGAAGGGAAGGAAGAAGAATTTTTACTCTTCCTTCTCCTTCCTTCCCTTCCCTAAGTGAACTCCCAAACATACCATATATGACCAAGAATTGAGCGTCCACATATCACTTGGTTGTTTTGTTGATTGAGATAGTAAGCCATGAGAATGTTGTTGTTTCTGATGCAAAACACTACTTCCCTTTTTGCATCAATCATTTCAATATCATCTATCAATTGTTCATCTTCAATTTCATTATCAGAAAATAATGATGACAAATCATTTATATTATGATTTTAGCAAACTCATCAATATGAGCTTTTATAATAGATGAAAATATAAATGATAAGTGTTGGAAGTTGAAATGTTGTCATGAAGTGTTAGAAGTTGAAATGTTGTCATGAAGTGTTGGAAGTTGAAATGTTGTCATTGATGTATATTTTCCTTAAAATGTTGTCATGAAGTGTTGGAAGTTAAAAATTGTTTGTTCATTGAAATGATGTCACTTTCATTTTTCATCTATGAGTAACATATTACTACATTTTTTTGTGTTATAGATGGCTTTAAATCAACGAAGTTCTTCATACACAAATGCTGAAGACTCACACCTCTGTCATGTATATCTTGACATTTCTCAAAATTCGATTATAGATATAAACCAATCTAAGAATCAAATTTGGTCTCGAGTTGAGAGTGATTATCATAGCTCAATGCCTACTTTTATCACTCAAGTACGACCCAGAAGATCTTTGCAATGTCGAATGCAAACTCTCCTAACTGCAATTGGCAAGTTGAGGGGACATGTAAGACATGTTGAAAATTTAAATCCAAACGATGCTTCTGAACAAGATATTGTAAATGTTATTTGTTACATATATTTTTGAGATTTAATTTATGATTGAAATTTAACTTTATACATTTATATCATTTTGCAGTTCGATCGGACTAAAGTGTTGTTTGCTTAGGATAACAATTATAAGAAAGGATTCAAATTGGATGATGTATGGCCTATCTTGAAATTATATCGAAAAATTTGCGAATGTTAATACAGGATTCAAGTGGGACATATGCAAAATGGTAACTTTGCATCATCACAATCAGAGTACTCTCCCGATTCAGAGTCTCCTACACAAGCATCTCCTAGATTGGCTTCATTCAATTAAGGAAAGCAAAATTTAAAAAGAGAAATGATGAAGAAAGTTCTACGTTTATGGAGTATATTAAATAAGATGATCAAAAATTTGTTGCAATGATGGAAAAAAGTAATGATGATAGGCAACTAAATTATAAAATCCAAATGTTATGAGCTCAAACTGCTGCAAAAAGTGGACGTGGATGAATAACGAGAAAAAATTTAATTTTACTGAAAGATTTAACACAAGTAACTGATCCAAAACTACATGAATTTCTTATAAAAAACAATCAAGAATTATGCATAAAAGAACTAAACAAGGTGAAGAATCTAAAAAATACCGGTTCTAATACTTTTGCCCAATATTTAGAACATCTTTGTCCTTCTAATGATAATTTCCTAGGATACTCAAATGTTATTTTAGTTTATGTTCAATGTTCTATTTTTTTTAATTTTAATATATTGCAATATGTCCTAATTTATGTGTAATTTTTTTTATGTCCTAATTTTTATATTGTAATTTTTTATCTAAATGTAAGTTTTTCTTATTTCTTCATTTGGTTCTTGTATTATGGAATTTTAAATGTTTGGATCAAATTATCTATTTTTTATTTTTGATTTGGAATAAATTATCTATTTTTTTCTTTTTGATTTGGAATAAATTATCTATTTTTTTCCTTTTTGAATTTTATTTTAATTATTTTATACCCATAATTTCATTATAATAGTTAATATAAAATAATATATATTATTAATATAAATATAAAAAACAATAACAAAAAAAATAAAAAAACCTAAATAGAATAAAACCACAGCTTCATCCCGTTCGCTTTCAACACGTTTGGTTTCCTTGCAGCTGATACGGTGCAGTTCCTCAGGAGGGTTCAGAAATTCACGAATAAGAATGTGGCGACAGCAGGGTCCGCTGAATATGTGTTTCGTAGGTTAGGTTTTACAATTCAGAAAGGATTAGCGACGCAACTTGTTGCCCGCTTGTCATCATCACATGTGTAATATTTTTATAATAATTATTTAAAAAGTAATAAAAAGTATTTCTTAATAAAAAAATAGAATAAAATGATAAATATGATGGATAAAATAAGATATGATTGGAATATTTAATTTGTTATAACAAATTTTAAGAACAAACTCGGAGAAATTTTTTTCCTCATATATACAGTATTGCACCCTTTAAAATAGGGCTCAGTTTCCCAATTGGTTGGAGGAAAGAATTGGCGTCAATTTGAGTTTTGGGGTCATTTTAGAGCTACGTTGGATATGCTCTTTCCTCACACGGATATTCATCGTTTTGCTCCTTATCCTGGCATGAACTGATGAACACGCCGACTGTTCAGCCAGCCCAGATTCATGAACTTTTAAAAAAAAATAACAATTTCATCTTTTAAAATGACAGTTAAAAATGAAGAACAGTTAGACTAGAACTTTTTATAAAAATAAAAATAAAAATTTCATCTTTTAAAATGAGAGTTAAAAATATAAAGAACAAATGCAGGACCTATATAAAAAACATAGCATTTCACCATAAAAGATAAATCCGTAACAACAATGCCATAATAAAATTTTCAAATTGAAATCATAAAAAAAAGGAAAATCAAAACTCATGAGGAAGAAAAGGAATAGCGATCAGAACCTGTCGGGATTCATGAATAACATCACATAATAATCAATCAGTGGATTGACAGACCATGAACTTCATCGTCACTTCGCCCTCCGATTTCCCAAATATCACAAATCAAAACACTTTTTATTTAACAAAATTACTCACTTAACCATACTGAAACATTAATCCCAAACTTTTAATCTATATAATCAAATATCGAGCCCGGACGCAACACGCGTCAACATAAACAAAATTTGAGCCACGAGTTATTAAAAACTAGACCCATTTTGATTTTTCCAGCCACGAAACCGCATCATCCATCGGATCGCCATCCTACCGACAAAGTGATACTTGGCTGGATAAAATAAATTCTGTATGATTATTTGTAAAAAATACACGATAAATGTAGAGCCTAGATGTAGCACGTGACATCATGAAGAAAGAGGCACGTGATAACGAATAGGCTCCTCCGTTGGTATTCCAGAGTCATGTAACTGTATCAGCCATTAGATCATCGTCAGATACCTGACTATGACTGGATTCTTAAAGGGAAAAAAATTGAAAATAAATAATAATAATAATAATAATAATAATAATAATGTCAGAGCCGGGGCACATGGGCGATACCGGGTTAAGATCCGAAACGATAACACCCGTTAAGAATGTAAGGCCGATTTTTGATATAGCTGGGCTTGGGAGGTGATGGAGAAACCCCCTAGAAATTCTCCACACTACATCACCAGCTAATTTCAGAAACCTGGCATTTAAAAATAAAGAAACAAAAAATTTAGGGGTGATATGGGAGATCTGTATCGGATCTTGACAAGAGCGAGATCCGATGAGGGATCGAGGACCCGCTCGGTACGCGATTGATGACGGTCGATCTCGCTGGTCACAGGAAGAGATTTCAGAATTTTGGCTGAGGTGCAGAGATGAGGACGAAGCTGGGGACCGTGGAGTTTATATAGAGGGAAGAAGATAGGACTAGGGTTTCTCGAGAATGTTCGCTCACGGGTTTCGGGTAGGAGAAACTTTGAAGTTTTGCCCAAATATCTTTTAAATCGGCCAATTTAGCCCAAGCCCATTTTGCCTTGCTAAGTTTATCTAGATACTTAAGTTATTGGGGTGACCACTATTTCTAAGCTACAGCGCATCTAATAGATTAGTATAGGGCTAGCAATGGTACACAATTTCATTCCAACCAATTCATATACCAACCGTACCAAATATGTTGGTATACCATCAAATCGGTACACGGTACAGTATACCGTACCAGCTTCAAAATATGGTATGGTAGGTGGTACACAATTTTCCTCTACCGTGGTATATTGTACCTACCAACTTATACTATATTAAATTATTATATATATATAATAGATATATATCCTTAAATCTCAACCATAGATTTAGGGAAATAAATCTCAACCTTCAATTTTTTGTAAACCTAATCTAATCTCTCTCAGTCTCAGCCTCCCACTCTCACTCTCAGTCTCAGGAAATCACCAGGCGCCGCACCACCACACTCTCCTCTGAGTCCTCTCCCCTTCTGAAACCCCATTTTTTTCTTCGCTAAAAATTTCTCAATCTCCGCTCAATTCCCGACGAAGGGCTCGACATTTGGAGGCTTGGAGCAAATAAAGGTCTTGTTTCATTTCAAAACCCTTTTCTCCTCATTTGTAATTTCGAATGGGTTTCATTTCATTTCAAAACCCTTCTCGTAATTTCGAAAGGTTTTCATTTCAAAACCCTAAACCCATATGGTAATTTCGTGTTTTATACTTTTATTACATGTATTTGTATTTTTCTTGCTTATTTCCCTATTTTGGGCCTTATTAGTTATTTTCGACATGCATTGAGGTTTGTTTTCAGAAATGTGGGTAAATAGTTCCTTAAATTTGCTATTGTTTTACTAGGTCTAGGACTGTGAATCTGTTATACGAGAGAAACCCATTTGAAGATTTTTATGATTTGATTTGATTTTAGAGGAGTTGTAATCATTCTAGTTAGTAGAAAGTAACCATGCTTGCCTATTAATGACTGTGAATCTGTGAATCTGTACATTATCAGTCTCTTTCAACATCTTTATAGTTTTCCTTTTGAACTTTATATCCTTGTGAATCTGTGAATCTGTGAATCTGTGATTTTAGAGGAGTTGCACTTTGCAGCTTTCATTTCTTATTTGGTGTGGATCATCAATTTAGTTTGGCTTTATCAGGTGGTCGTATTTTTAGATTTTGCCATTGGGATTTAGCGAGAGAGCATGTTACTGATTGTTCTCTCCCTCGTCCTGGGTTTTATTCTGTAATTTCTCATATTAAAACATGAATAAATGTCTCAAGGAGTGATAATAATTCAATCTGTACATTATCAGTCTCTTCCAACCTCTTTATAGTTTTCCTTTTGAACTTTATATGCTCCACCTTATTAATGAATTTGTACATTATCAGCCTATTAATGACTGAATCTGTGAATCTGTACATTATCACTATCAATCTCTTCCAACCTCTTTATAGTTTTCCTTTTAAACTTTATATGCTTTCTTATTAATGACTGTGAATATGTACCTTATTGATTTTCTTGCCTATTAATGAATTTTATTGCACATGTAATTGAAAATTTATTTTACTGCAGTTTTCTTTTTTTCTGAAATTAAGGGATATAGATAGACCGTATGATTGTAATTCCCATATTATTGTGTTGCGTGATTGTAATGCCCCAATGATTAAAAATAGATAGACTGTATGTATATCATAAGGGAATCAGTTTTCTATTTTGTGAACTTTGCAATTGATGTTTTATTCTTGTTCCATTGTAGGCAATGGATTCTTTTATGTCACAATGTGGTACTGTGGGCTATTCAAGCTCAACACCATCAGTTCCATCCAGTGCAAATGCAGAGACCACTGCTGGTTTACATGCTGCACCTCTGCCACCTCTGCCACCAGCTGAAGGGACTCATGAAGGCATCCAGCCTCGGAAGAGAAAAGATCCCTCAAACAAAAGCAAGATGTGGTAGTACCTTACCAGGTGCAAACTTCCTGATGGTCAAATTGATCCTAAATATTGCAACTGCAACTATTGTCACGAAAGAATGTTGTGCCTCACAGAGAAGAATAGGACTAGCTCCATGTTGTATCATAGCAAGGGATGTGAGAAGCACCCCTGTTATCAAAAAGCAAAGGAAAGTGATCCCACTCAGACGAGGCTGAGTCGAGATAATGTGAGTGGAGGCACTGGATACCGGAGGTGGAACAAGAAAATGTGTGATGATAAGTGTATTGAGATGATCATCAAGGATGAGTTTCCATTTCGGTTTGTGGAGAGGGAGGGATTCAGGGATTTATGCAATGACTTGGAACCACAATGGACAGTCCTGGACAGGAAACAAGTTACTAAGGGCGTGCTAGAAAAGTTCAACTTGGAGAAGTCTATGTTGTTGAGTCAGCTTAAGATGAGTGACACAAGAGTCTCTATCACCACCGACACTTGGACATCGATTCAAAATATTAATTACATGGTGGTGACTGTGCATTTTTTGGACCACGATTGGGTGCTATACAAAAGGATCATTAACTTTTGTAATATTACTAGTCACAAAGGTGAGGATATTGGGAGAACACTTGAGCAGTGTTTGAGACAATGGGAGATCAACAAAGTGTTTACTATTACAGTAGACAATGCTAGTGCAAATGACGTGGTTGTCCAATATATGAAGAGGAGGCTTACTAGTTACCAGACCTTAATGTTTAAGGGAGAGTATCTACATTTAAGATGTGCTTGTCACATTATCAACTTGATTGTGAAGGACGGTTTGAAGGAGTTAGAGAGTGGGATTGCTGCCATTTGGAATTGTGCCAAATATGTGAGGAGTTCATCACAAAGACTTAACAAGTTTAGGGAGTTTGCAATTCTGGAACAGTGTAAGGCAAATGCCAATGTCCTGTTAGATGTTATTACAAGATGGAACAACACATATCTTATGCTTGAAGCTGCATTGAAGTATGAGTTGACGTTTAACCGAATGTGTGAAGAGGATGAGGCATTCAAGAGCTACTTTGCGGACAAAGTTGGACCTCCAACTTCTTAAAATTGGAGGTATGTAGCAGCATTTTGTGTGTTTTTGAAGAAGTTTTATGTTGCAACCTTAAGACTTAGTGCTTGGAAATCAATCACTTCAAATGTATTGTTTGTGGAGATGATCACCTTGCAATGTGAGATCAACAAGGCTTGCATTTCAGAAGATCCTGTTTTGAAGAAAGTCGCAACCTCAATGAAGACAAAATCTGACAAGTATTGGGGCAGCTTTGAGTCTATCAACAAGATCATTTTGATAGCGAATATGTTGGACCCGAGGTACAAGCTTCAATGGGCTAAATTGGATATGAAAAAGATTAATGCAATCCCAAATACAATCTAGTCGATAGAAGAGGATTTAAAGAAAATCTTGATGAAGATGTATGAAGAGTATAAAGGCTGTGAGGGCATGGAGCAAGCTGAGCAGCCTCTCGAAGATGATTTAGAGACGGGTGGAGTTGCCTACGAGGACCTTGATGAAGTCAGTAAGGAGATAGCTAGAGAGAGGATGTCGGAGCAATCACAATGCATTCGGAATGAGGTTGATCAGTACTTAACGGATAGGCATGTCAGCCTTACGTGCAAGACTTTTGATATTGACAAGTGGTGGAAGGGAGCAGAAACAACTTATCCGATTTTATCCAAGCTAGCAAAAGACATACTTGCTGTTCCATGCTCCACTATGGCTTCAGAGAATGCTTTTAGCTTAGGGTCAAGAGTTGTAGATCCTTTCAGAACTTCTTTAACACCAAAGACAGTTGAGGCCCTTGTTTGCACTTCTGATTGGTTAAGATGTGCACCTGCAAATTTCAACCTCTACGAGCCTCTAACAGAAGATGATCTGATAATTTACCACGAACTGGAGGAGCTTGAGAGAGGTACCTGCAAATTACTATTATTATTATTATTATTGCTTATTGTTGTTGGTTACGTAATGGTGTTTTAGTTTGAGCTATATTGTTTTTATGACTTGTTATTGGATTTAATTATGTATTTATGTTATTGTTGTAGAGAATGTTTTTACACAAAACTTGGAGGCAGGAAGGGGCGGCCCAAGTAGCAATAGCTCTGTTCACACAACTACTTAGGTATCAAGCGTTGGGGGTTTATGGCCTAGCACCATCACCGCCTACAACATGTCAACCTGTCTCGCTTTTAGACCTATCATTTCTTTTTTTTAATTGTTTTATGAATTTGTTAGTACTTTGGTAGTTTGGCTGTTTGGACTTTGGCATGTTCCATTTATGACTTCATATTCGGTAATTTGGTTGAATTTGTATAAGACTTTGGCCTTTGGCCTTTGGCAGTAGGAGAATTATGTTATTGAGCTGATGAAACCACCATATACTCTGTTATCAATCCTGGATTGTATTTTCAGTTTTAATATATCGCAAGAAAATTGCTAAAGTTTCACCATTTCCTGATGATCTATGGCCCCTGAACGGGATATATACCATGTCGAGGAGGATTGTTAATAAGAATGCACACCTCGTATGACATCTGGCCCAAATTCAGCAGGTGATCTCTCTAACAGGCTATGGACTATCAGAGATTTGAAGTAGCTGCATGCTACTACTGTCATTTTAATAGACCAGAAAATGTTACTTTTTCAACAGACCGATGTTCAAGACCACTTTCCAATCAAAAACTATATTCATGGTTCATGACGCTAACTTCGTATTGTTTTCTCTAAAAAAGCACTGTAAACATTCTTCTTTAGTATGGGCTTGCGTTCATTGTCTAAAGCATTAGTTGTCAGAGTGCATTTACAAATATGTGTCCAATATTTTCAAGTTCTGACTAAGTCCATTGTTTTATAATTAAGTCCATTGTTTTATTC